TTTTCCTCCTATGGTGGCTGAGAATTTTTATACAGCCCCCCCGTCTTTAAGAGACGAGGTGCACCCATATTTTAAATCTCCATAAAAAAGTTCAGTAGTGATTAAAAAAAAAAAACTTTGTGCATTAGGAATATTTTCCTTTGTACACCTTTCCAGGTTATTACGCTATGAAACATTACAGTATTCTATACACACATACACATTAATTCCCAGTGCACTGTTCTACGTTATTAAGGTCCAGAACTTTTTCTTTTTTTTTTGTCTTCTCCTGATCAAGGACAAAAGAGAACAAAGCATCTCGTACAAAATGAAAAGGCAACCCGGCTAATCCCAAGACAAGGGACTGGCTGCAGAGACCAGTGTCTCCCAGGAAAGTCGCAGCATCCCTGGACAGAGTAGCACGGCTTCAGAAACCCCACAAACGTCTTTCAGCCGCCTTGGCACATGGTTCCCCAAACTCCTGGGCAAAATACTGCATTCTTCCTTCCAACATTATTGATGTGATTAGTAGTGGTAGGATTACTGTTCCAGGATTCCCGAAGACAAGCTGGTACTGTACATTCAGAAAAGGCAGTCCATTAGTGAGCACCATGTCCCATCACATCTCTAAGTGCTTTGTTTTCCAGTCGGAGGGATGTTAAGGCCGATGAAATCTGAAACGAGACAAACAAACATTTTTAAATTGCAAGTTGGTGCTGGAGAGGCTGGTGTTGCTCTGTAATGCAATACAGTGTTCAAAAAAAGAGATGACAAGAATTACTGCCTTTTCAAAAGTTCAAAATCTACAGCCTATTGTTTTTCACAGTTTTACTCCCATTGTGCTACAAATGAACTAGAACTTTTTAAAACCAGATTAATTCATTCAAAATCAGATTGCACATCTCTAAAAAGAAGAACCTCTAATGTTCCTCTGGTGTAGGCATAAAGTAGATATGATAGTGAGTGATGAGGAAAGGCTATTTTAAAATGACAAATGCAGACACACATTGGTAAATTAAAACACCTCGTCAAAGTGGATTATCATTAGAACGGTGACGAAATTATATACAAAAATCCAGAATGCAAAATAAAGGGACTATAATACTGCTGCAAATACCTTGTGTATATCCTACTATCCTCATGAACTTCCATTTCAGAGCTCTTGAACTCATTGAGTTCCTTTCGGATTGCAGCCTGAAAACGGGGGGAAAAAAAGATCAGAATTGGTCAGGAGATGAAAAAGCAGGCTGTTGGCTTCAATTGAGGTGTTTCCATATATGCTTTCATATTGAGACATGCTACTTCAGCCAAATGACAAGGGCTGCTACTTCAGCCCTTTTGCCTCTTGTGATTCCCCTGGAGAAGTTCATTTTACTTGAAGAGACTCTTCCCACTAAGGAAAAAGGTGAAGGCTGACAGCAAATTAAAATTGTATAGTCAAGACGCTGTTTTCAATGAAAAGCAGAGAAAATACATTTTCCAGTGACAGAGAAATGCACAAGAACATACACAGGTGGAAATGCATGCAGTGTTAGAAGACACCTTATTCGAGATAAACTGTATTTTAAAGTGCAGTGTTAGGCTAGTTTAACAAGAGGAAAATATAACAAAGAGACACTCAGCACGAAAGTATAATACAAAACTTCCAAACCCAGCTGTTTATACATCACCATGGCTGAAAAACTACTGAGACACAAGGCTATTGAGCTCTGGGTCGGATCCTGAAGCACAAGCTCATTTAGAATTTCACATGGACATGGGTGTGGATTCTGTATTTTGTCATTTTGACATGTTTATGGGATTTTCCCCGCCCTTCTTGTTTTTTCATCCCCTGGAGCACAGACTCCCTTCTCTTGATTCTTTCTGCCCGAAGAGCACATGGATTGCCCTTCACTTGATGATACCACAAGCAAACACGCCGATGATCATGAAAACATGAGCAGGAACCTGGCTTGGCAAACAAGGAGCTTGGATTTAACATAATAAGCACCAAAGGATTGCCACCTTTATAATCGAAAATATCCAATTTGGGACTTTCTCAAAGGGCAGGAGAAGAAAACTGTGGTCTTGGCTGTTGGTGAACTGCACTCTATGAACTGCGAAAGTGCAGGTTGTACCTCTAATTTTTCTTTCAAGCAACAAGAGTAAAATAAGCTGAGAAGCTTTATGCTTCCCTGGGTTATAAACCTCTGTACAATTCTGAAAAAGAACCAGTGAGCTGACTGAGATGCTCAAGTTTGGGGGTTAAAGTGGCAAATTTTCAATAGGCACAACTCGACAGTAAATTTTTACACTTAACTTGGGCACTGCAGCACAAAAAGAACTACAAAGGACCTAAGATTTTATTTAATTTTAAGTCTTATTACATTACAATTTGATGAGAGAGAGAGAGGAAAAAAAGCACTCAAAGACAGCCAATGTCACGATAAAAATGGTTATGAAGCAATAACCGTTGACCTAATTACTATACACGTGTCTGGTGATACAGGATAATAAAAGCGAAATGAGCAAGTCTCGGGTCATTTTTTGTCTGGATGACATCCGAGGTGTGATTTCTGTTTTGGCAGGAGGAAAGGGTAGAGGGATCGGATCGAAGGGTGCGGGGATCAAATATCAAGTAGGCGGAAGGGGATCTTACTTTATCCGCTGGTGTCAGCTTGGTCCAGGGTTTGTCAGCTCTGCGGTCGTAGTCATGGGCGTCTGTGACCTCCACGTACTCATGGAAGCGCAGGATCTTCCGTGCCTGCAGCTCCGCTACCGTGGGCCTCTGGCTCAGCTGGAATAGACACGGATACATTTCAGCCTCTTCCAGGACTGGGAGGGAGGTTTCCAAAGCACACATATCTCGGTTAGAGACGTCGCTGCTCTCGTTTTGCTGATTTTTTCAGTGACACAGAAGAAGCTTATGGCTAGCAGTTAAAATAACTGTTTCATGAGGTAGCTCATTAGGGTAAAGGCATCTGCTTACACGCAGAATGAAATACGTACTTATTCATTTTTACATTTGAAATGTTTTGGCTTTGTATGAATTTACCTTTCAAAATGAAATCTGAAAACATCTCGCCGTTATAATAACGGCCAGAAATACAGTATATTCCAGTTCTAGTTACTATGTTTTTAGTAGACCAGTCTCACATGCTGTGAGAACACCTGTCTCTTGTCTTTCCCCATCATGGCAAACAAAGCACTGTTTCTACCTTTCTGGTCAGTCGACGCTTGATCTCTCGTTTCTCTGCCTGCCGATCAGCTTCATTCTTTGCTACAGGAAGAAAAGAGATCAGAAAAGGCTAGACTGTGATTTTTAGATTTAATTAAATTGTGCAGTGCAATACTTTTAATTAAGTAATGATTTTACATCCTTCCAAAAATCCAAAACTAACCAGACACCCCAGGACTTTCTTTACAGCCTTATGAGACCACAGGTTGAAGGGCTTCCTTCATAATGACAGCCATGCAAATTGAGTTGGTAGCTACCTGTGTCCTTGGTCCTCTTCCAACACCCTACTCAAAACTAGCTTCTCAGCTCCTTGTCAACTTATTAGTTACCTCAGCAATGACCTCCCAGAAATCTGGTATCCTACCTGTAGGCTTAAGGTCTGGTGTTATACCTACTTACCTACTATATTAGTTTTTGCAGTTCCTTTCTAACAACTGTTGTCTAAACCCCAAAACTGGACCATATGGTGAAAAGGTTCTTGGTAAAATGTGGTAAAAAGGTGTTCTTTTATAAGGATTCGTATCATAGTTAACTTCACAGATTTTAGAAATCTTAAATTCAGAGAGGCCTAAAAATTAAAATGGTCTCAATCAACTATTTTAATTGCCCCTTCTCTTAAGTGCAGTAAACTATGATAAAGGCAAATGTATGTATTTACTGTACATCACCCAGCTAGAATACCAACACCAAGGGCAATTGTTGGCAAGAAATGAAAAAGCAACATAAAAGCAGGAGAAACTGTGCTTAAGGTGCTATTTTATGCCAAAAGTGCTATAATATGGCAGAGTAATTTCATAGTACCTGGAAAACAGTTTGCATCACAGTTTGGATATGACACCTTTAGATACACGTGCAGTAACTGCAGTGATGAAACACATGCCTCAGTTTGTAATGGAACAGGCAATCTAACCATGAACTATCAAGGGACACAACGGGAAGCATGAACCATGCACAGGTCAGAAAATCTGATTAAGATGAAAGTGCATGATGTGGAAATAGAATTATTATCCTCAAAGCGCCATTTCCCACTTTCTTCGGAAGGAGAGATCGGTGTGGAGGGAGGTCTCAGCAGCTGAGATTATAAGGAGACCTGCAGATTCAGAGCCGTGCGACAGAGCTAATGAAATTAGAGGGGAAAGGATAATAAAACTTACGCTGAAGAATATTCCTCTGCTCCAGCTCTTCAGGTGTGGGCCTCTGGCTCAACCGTCTAGAAGGGCAGAAAAGACATAATTAGTATTACTAACACTGCCACATCATATATTATTAACCCAAAGGTCAACGCCACAGAGCACAAGACTGTACACCATGAAATGTACTAATTATAAAGGAATCTGGGAATGTGGCCACACATTAGTAAATGTGTGGAAAAGTAAAATAATAGACTCCTCTGTCAAAGCTTGAAAAGACACCCCATTTCTACAAAGTGGTGTTCAAGAGCTTCTTGCACATTTTTTTAAATCAGGAAATGGGAGGGGCAAGACCCCATATGAAGACAACTATATTTTCATTTTTTTCATTAAATTTTCAATATCAAGTCAATCTAAGAAAAATAAGAATGGAGACATGTCCAAGAGAAGGCACTACATGCATTTCAGCTGTTTATACTTGATTGAAAGGAATAATCTAATCAAATTCAATTTAATTAGTTGGAATCATTAATTAAATAAATAGGATGCATCTTAAAGCTGGTATTTCAACAACAGTAACTGATTAACACTTGTTCGAATTAACTCCTCCAAAGAGCAAGGCTTAAGCATGGCTATCGTAGGTGTTGCAGTCAGACTGAATAGATAACGGAATGAACTGCTGTCCCCACAAAGCAGATCCCAAAGTTTTTAGTATATGGGACCCAGCTATGCAATTATTTTTGCCGGCTGAGTAGAAGAATACTTCTATGCTTCCTACACCGGCTTTATCCCTCACCTCTCCAAGTGATACACCAATGACCGCATCGGTGCTGCCCCATGCTCTGATGACTGACTAGAGCATTTCCTGCATCACTTTTACAATGAATATATCTTCCACTACTCTTCCGTTTCTGGGCATAAACCACTGCATTAACCATCCGCGCCTCTCAGGAACGAAAGTTTGCCAAGCTGCGAAGAAAAAAAAAGAGCTGGCACGCATCCCCATTTCTATTCAGCATGCGTGGGAGAGGGCCTGGCGAGTTGTGTCCTGTAAAACCAGCTAACACCTTGCCTGTCTGTGTGCATTCAGCTCCTCCTCGGTGCCCCAGGGACTCCCACTGGTCTAGGCTAGGCCCTCCCAGCAGGCGGCTGCCTCACCGAATGTTTGCTTTTTTAAAGGTGTGACTTGAGGCCCGCCTGTAACCTGATCACACCACCCACACAGCGGAACCAAGCACATGGGAGTGGGGAATGCAGCTAGCTTCTCTCTTTCCAGCCAGGAAAGGTCAAAGGCTTTTAGCTGCAGAAGTACCTTCCAGCTCAATTCAAGAAGCCAGCACCAAAAACATTCGGATAATGCTAAAGCAGTAACTGGCAGTTTAAGGCTTCAGAAAAAAAGGATGTATATAATTATTTAAACTAAAAAACCAGGATGTTTTTACAGATGCTTAATGGGCACCTTGTACTTGAAGGAAAATGATTCATTTAGTGGATGCTGCACACAGGTGGTGGTGGAGGGGAGTCCCCATTACCTGTAAAGCACTTTGAGTGTCCAGAAAAGCGCTATATAAGTGTAAGCAATTATTATTATTAAATTATTAGTGTAATAAGCAACGATAGTTTTAGGGATAGCATACACAAGTTCAATGAAGACTCATTCTAGCAAGCAGCACTTGATGATCTGGTGGGAGAACAAGCCCCTCTGTGCGGTGGAGACGGCAGGAGTGTGGCCCGCGCAGCGCTGTCGTACCGTGTGAGCGTTGACCCGATCTGGGTACGGATGAGCTCCCACTGCTCCCGGCTCTGCCAGGTCACGGGGTTCTTGTCCTCCCGGTCTGGGGCCGATGGCCGGCTGCTCAGCTTGAGGGCCAGAGTGTCCTTGCGCTTGACCTTGCTTGCCAAGGAGCCTGCAGCACAGAAACGACCTCTCAGATCAGAAAAGGTGAACAAGCACAGCCTGCAATGTAAGCCATCCATTCAAAGAGGATCCTTCCAGTATGGTGGAAGCAGCATATGCATATTAACACTTATCACCTGTATAACACTACCAACACCCAAGAGTTTTTGAGTAGTTCTCTCTCACTTTAACACCCTTTGATAACGTGCAATGTTATAATTCCAATACCTGATGGTATATAAAAGGTGTGACGGCATACTTTTTTTTGCATGCTTGAAACCACAATTTTTACAGAATTATTTTATTTCAGGAATGATTTACTTGACTGGGTGCTGGTGTGTAGACATCCAAAAGCTTGTGTTCATTTTCATCTTCTAAACAAAAGTAGTTGGCTTTACTTAATACAAAAAAAAAACCTTTTGTAATTGAGATTAAGTTGGCCAAATTAACCATTAAAGGAAAGGAGAGGTAAAAGCCTACTGAATGAGTGGATCCTGTCTGAAGCATCATAGTCTGGGTCACTAGAGGTTTAATTCATTGCAGCTTATCTGCCAATGATGCTGTCTCTTCAGATTGTGAGAAGTTGTAGCCGAAGGTTTCTAACCATTTACCTATAGCATTTTACATGGAAAATAACTGAAAGGTGTTGTTAAGAAAAAAAACGATCCATGCGTAATAATTAAAAGAGGCATACTTGTTTGGGTGTCATCTTCGTCCTCCTCCTCTTCATCCTCGTCTTTGTAGAGGACGGGCCCGTCCGAGTCGCTCTCCTCCTCTTCGCTGCTATCGGACCCCTCCACCTCGGGGATCACGCTCACAGACAGGTTGTCGCCCACGTACCCCCAGCGGCTCCGGGGCTCCAGCTCCGGATGGGTCGGCTGCTCCTCTTCCTGCTCCTCTTCTTCCTCGAAGTCGTCATCCTCTGGGCTGAGAGGGAAGGGGCGAGAGCACTTATCAGCACGGCACTGAATAAATTCATAATTTCGACAATTCAAACCAATAACTGACAATAACTGTGTGCTGGAGAACGGCATGGTGGCACAGTGGTAAAGGATGCTGCCTCGCAGTGCTAAAGCCCCTGGTTCAATTCCCAGAGTGCTATCTGTGTGGAGTTTGCATGTTCTCCCTGTGTTCATGTGGGTTTCCTCCAGTTGTTCCGGTTTCCCCCCCCAAAGTCCAAACACATACTAGCAGGTTGACTGGCTTCTGTGAAAATTGGCCCTGGTATTCGTGTGTGTGTGTGTGTGTGTGTGTGTGTGTGTGTGTGTGTGTGTGTGTGTGTGTGCCCCGCGACGGACTGGTGTCCCACCCAGGGTGTTATCCTGCCTTGCGCCTGTTGTTTGCTGGGATAGACGGTTCCACTGTGTCGCTGTATTGGGTAAACCAGTTAGAGAACAGATGGATGGAATATAACTACGTCCAGCTGAATGAACCCACTAGACTAGCTTCTTGAATTCCTCGGGATCCTAGGAATGACTTGACACTGCCCAAGCCCGCGTGTAAAAATGGTTTAAGAGACACGAGGCCGCCAGACAGTACTCACAGTTTGAGGGGCTCGATGGTGATGGGAAGGGAGCGCACACGGGTGGCGGGGTCGTTCTGGCCCTCGGGGGTGGTCTCAAAGAGCAGGGAGTGGGCCCGCTGGGAGCCGTCGGGATTAGGCACGGCCGGGCCGGGGCTGTTGAGCGCCCGCTGGATCATGATGTGCAGGGGCACGGCAGGCTGGCGCGCGGGCTCCGGGGCGGGGCTCGGCGGGGTGTGCTGGACCTGCGGGACGGCCTGGGGGGGCTGGCTCGGCAGGGCGATGGGCGGCAGCGCAGGGGGATGGGTGCGAGGCGGAGAGGGGGGAATGTGCGCGGGCAGCTGGGGGGAGGGGGGAGCCGGGGGCGGCTGGGAGGCCTGGGCGTTGGTGTCCTCCGGCGGGGGGGCGGCCGTGGCGGCGGGAGTCGAGGGCTCCTCGGGGTTTCGCTTGGTGACGGGAGTGGTCCTCTTCGGAGGTAGAGGCGGGGATGGCTTTGCTGGCACTAGAGCGCCCCCACCAGCTGCCTGTGAAAGCTCAGCTGTGCACAAGAAGAAAAACAACATCCAGACCAATGATATGAACTGCATGGCCCAGTGGAAGATGGCTGATGGCTGATGACTGCAGGGTGGACAAGCACTACTGAGTCAACATGTTAATTTCAGGTGTTGCGGGCACTAGTCAAAGCAAAAACATTACAAGTTAGAAAAAAAAACATGCTGAGTCACTTAACCCCTTAAACTGCTTCTTATATCAGCAATCTTCACACATAAGCACACGGATTATCCAGTGAGAAAATCAGTTTAAGGGGACAAGGTGCATGATCTGAGGAATGCAAGCAAATGTTTAAGCTGCGCAAGGATGATTAAAATGAATCTGACTTTTTTTTACGCAGACTGTTGCGGTCTTAGCGTTTCAAGAGGTTCCGAAAAACTTTAACCAAGGATGATTTGCTAAGGAAACCTGACTTTAAAACAACTTTCATGATTATGACAAATGAATTAATCATATGCATAAGCGGTCACTGCCCAAAAAAAAAAACATCTTGGATTTGCAACATTCAATACATCGCATTTCCCTGTAAACCTTCTGGTTCCAAACTGTAAATACGGGTCTGTTGCAAATCAGAATCTTGAAAATGGAATCGATGTAAATATTCTAGCTAAAATCAAACAGCACCTTTAACGTCTCATCCAAAGTTCAAATCATTTTAAAACGGAGCTGGGCCAGTGGGCGTTTTGACAAACACTAACAAATCGCGTAGCATTGCCACTCCACGTCCGAGAAGTCATCTCATTTCAAGTTAATAGCATGCCATGAAGTCACAGCTGTGGGGTTATCATGCCATCAATCTGCATGCTGTGGCGTACGCAGCATCGCTTATAGCGCGTCATCCATGCAGCCTCGTAAAATAACACTCCGGAACAGAAAGGCTCTGTAGGTCTCTTTAGGCGTAAGTATTAGTTCGTCTCTGGTACATGAAACAAGCTGCAGATGTTTCAGCCCAAAAAAATAAAACAAAAATAAAGATGGAATTCCCTGGTGAGCGAGGGAAGCAGCTGGAGGCCGGACGCCGTTGCCATGGCGAGCGGGTGGCGCCCACCTGCCCTTTACCTGAACGGGGGGCTCCAGCCCGTCTGCAGAGATACACAGGCAGGGAGAGGTACGCGTCGTACTCGGCCTCCCGTTTCCAGCACGACCAGTACAGGGGGAAGGAAACGTTTTCGCCCCTGTGCAACGTTGAGGCTAGCAAAAACGAGTCAAGAGGTTTTCTCGGCGTTAGGGTGGCGCGGAGCTTCAGGGGGTGGCGGCGGTAAAATCTGTGGAATGTTCCTTTTAGACAATCGTCACGCCGACTTGATTTAAATATCAGGTTCATGTCACATTTGCGAGACTGTGACCTGACAGCCATACAGCTCAGACAGCACAGGAAATATTGTCAAGGGTAAGTACCTTGATTTAACCTGTGTCTGGGGGACATTCTAATGTCCTCTGAGAGGCTGTTCCACACACTGCCCGAGAAACTGAAGGCTGCTCTACTTTTCTCTGGGGGAAGACACATGTGGGGCGTTATTATATTACTATTTTTGGAAGATGGATTTCAAGGTGCATTTTAGGCTGGATCACAGAGTGTGGGTAAAGCTGATTCACAGATCAGGAGGTATGTTGCTCAGAAGCCCATTCTGTAAGTCAATGTCCCCACTCCAACCAAAAAGAGTCATGTTGGCTATATTACAGGTCCCTGGGATATAGATATATACGGGCCCTATGGATATTTGCAGATATAAAGTTGTATTAGTATTGAAAATATAGCTTATACCATAAAGCTGTGCTAAGAAACTCTATGGTCCTGTCTCTGAAGTTTAACTTGGTGGATCCTTACTACACTGCAACTATACAGCCATAAATTGTTTGCATAAATAAATGAGACCTTTTCTTACAGGATTTTTGTCTTTGCATTGCACAAAACATTTAAAAACACTTTACAGTTAAAAACGTGCAAACAAAACAGATAAAATAGGATGAAGAACAGAAACAGGCTGATTAAGAAGGGAACATGAGAGCACTACAATCCAGCTTCTTAAACAAACCTTATTTCCTCAATACAGAACAGCGTCTGGCTACCCTTGTCCCCAGAGACCATGAGTGATGGGGAAAAAAAAAGTCTCCTCTTGTGATTTTTGCACCAGAGATAACAGCTGTTGAAACAGCGGGCAAATCCTAGCTGGACAACACCCTTGCCTCAAATGGGAATGTCTAATTCTGATCTGACTGCAGCAAGTGCGTGGGTGGGTGTGAACTTGTTTTCCTGAGCAAGTGCGCACATGCTCAGACATCATATTCGGAGCACAACACATTGCCTGCAGTCTAGCATGTTCTGAAATTAAAACAGCTGGGACATGCTGAGAACACAGTGGCTACTGAACCTACCGATCACAGCACAAAATAAGCCTGTCTTTAAGCTAAGATTCTCTCCCCATTATTTATGGACTTAATACGCAGAAAGGAAAACGATTCAAAGTCTATGAAAAACACAGATACCCTGTTAAGGCGCTAGTCCGACAACAATGCAAACGTGACTACTACAATTTTAAACTGGGCTGCTATTTAAATATACTGATTCTGTGGGCAAGCAGAGACCAATCATGTTTTTTTCCATAATGTGATGTTTGAAATTCCTCCGTGGATCATGACATTCTAGTTTTTTTAGGCTTTTGCCTTCTGACTACACTTTGACTTTCTTCCAGCTACATTTTGCTTCTTTCATTTTCAAAGGTCATATATCACTTCATTTACTCTCCATTTTTACATACACTACCGATGTGCCAACAAGCATACCAAATCACAGTTATTTTCTGTGGTATGAGGGGAACAGACCACTTTGAATCTTCTGTACATTATTTTTTCTTTTGCAATCAAATCACAAATAATTATGCAACGATTTCCCAGGTGAAAAGGCAAGGAGACTTTTCATGTTGAAGATAAAATTACATGAAAAGGCAAATAGTACCATAATCTCTTGCTTGCAAGCACAGAACAAGTTAATTCTATGACAAAACACTTTAAAAGTGCAAGTCCAGATTCTAGATGAACATAAGATGGGATACAAAGATGGTATTTTATAGAAGTTTATTCTGTATATTTTGTCTGACTACTAATTTTATGAGTATAATTTCTGAACAGTTTCTGGCAAGAAAAAGTGCAGCCTTCATGAGTACTTTGTATACGATAATGCACTGACTTCAAGCACTCCACTGTAAGTCCTCCAAAACCTAGAGAGTCGACCACAGGGTGGAACTCAAATCCACAAACTGCACAGCAAACACTGGCAAAGACTACACACAAACTAAGGTACATTTCCTCCATTCAGTCTGTAACACTACTGCCAAGCCAACAATGTGGGGGGTTGTGTCTATTTAACACATTTAACATATCCAGTGAATCCCACAGGTCCTGGACTGGGTGGTGGCAGTCAATCATTCTAATAATATATTTTGCATTTCCATCATATTCCTGATCACAAAGCACGTAGGTGGAGCGACACTTTGTCCACCTGGGTGAAGCCTTGTGGCCGGAGAGAAGCTGCTTCATCAGCTGATGGCCAGAGACACAGTGGGCCCTGCACTGAGCCAAGACTGAAGCAGGACAGCTTGAGTGGCACTTGCCAAGTGCAGAGGAACACTACTTTGTTGACGGTTTAAGGGATTATGTTGCTGTAACAACCGGTAAAGCAGGTCTCAAAATGTGGTCACCATAGCCACTCAGGCATCGACCTTTAACAAAGTTTAACAAAGAGGGGCTCCTGATGTTGACATGAATCGCCAAAACAATGACATTCCATACACAGATATCACAAACCTTTTTGTTGTCCTGCCTGTATAGATGCTTTCAACCATCACCAAATGAAAGATGACGCCCAGATACCACAGAAAATACCACACTTTGCTACTATTCATGGAGTTGCAGCCCTTCAGTCATGCCTCCCAGTGACTCTGAATCATCACGCCACCATTCTAAGTGTCCAATGACTTAATCATGCTTATGGGTCTGTCATGGTGCCTGGACGGGTTTGTCTTTGCTGTTGGGAAGCGATATCTCAAATGGTTTTTCCAAAACTGTCTCTCCTGTCACTGGGGTGGTCACAGGTGCTTCCTGCTTCTGAAACCTTGCGACCGTTGGATGAGTGTTTTTCCACTGCGTTTGTGGATGAATTGCACAGCGATTAAAACTGGCAAACCTCTCTGCTATTTCAGCATTATCATCATATACATTATCTACTATGCCCTTCGAACAACCAAACTTCTTAACACACAGGCTCGAAAGGGGATGTGATCTATAACATTTTACATGGAGACTCATCACAACCTCCTGCACTATTACACTCAATCAGGTTAGTAAGCATTGCAGTGGCTTATATTGAGGGACCTTACAACTAACAGATGGGGATCATAAAGAGAGCAACAGTAGTACATTAAAACACAATAATTCAAGCACAATTTTAAGCATAAATAAACGAAATGAAGCTTTCTCAGCAAGTTTCTAACAGACAATCCGCTCATGAGCTCTGCAAACGAGAGCATGAAATAGCTACAGTGGTGGGCAGTCTGGGCTGTCAGGAGTGCTGCAGGAGGGCAGGGCCTCCTATAATGCACAGCTGTGGCTGCAGGCACACTTACCTATTAGCGCAGGGTTGCTATTCCGGTTTATAGGCTTGGGTGGCGGGACAGGGGGCTGCTTGGTAGGTGGAGGGGCGGTGGGGGTGCTGCTTGGAGCAGGAGGATTAGCGCTAGCAGAGGAAACAGTCCTAGCGGGCTTGGCGCCCGAGCCAGCAGAGGAAGTGGAGGATGAGGAGAAGGAGGAAGAGGAGGAGGCAGTGGTGGTGGCGGTGGGCGAGGGGGCAGTGCTGGTGGGGTTCTTGTGCATGCCGTGATCTTTCACCGGCCCGTCGCCTCCAGCCTCCTGCACCGGGGAGACCATCAGCCACTTGGGGGGCAGGATGGGCTGTTTGGGGGGCAGCGGCTCTCGCAGGGTGTCTCTGGGCGGCTCGCTCTCAGATGCCGGCCGGCTCCCATTCGACTCTGCGGGCGGCCGCGTGGCAACGAGACAAGAAGACACACAGACAAGCAGTCAGACGGAGCGCAGACATGCACACACTGCAAAGCCCCCCGCCGCTTCTGAACCTTCTCAAACAAAAGGTTCTGGGAGATCAACACATCAAACAAGAAGAAAATGAGGGTTTGTGTGTTTGTGATTTAGCTCATAAGCAGCAACCCCCTCTAGGTAACATCCTACCCTATACATCAATTCACATCCTCACAAAATTTAACCTCAAAAAGAGGCATCCATACAAATCTCATAGTCTGTAATATCACAATCCTTTATAGCAAGCAAAAGATTTTGAGAAGTCTCTCAAAATGATTAGTTTTGGAATAACCAGACTATTCTAGGCCCCAAGTTCTATTCTTTTTTTAATCTATCTAATCCATTCTTCAAAACGAATGTTTTTTATCTTAAAATAGAGAACAGTGGGTATAGAACAGCTTTATCATTATGACATACCCGACATTCAAAACTAGGTCAGCAAGCAAGAATACTGCTGCACCTAGAAAAAAACGAGTTGTCTGCTGTATGCAATGGGACAAGTCTATAGTAGATTTTTAACAACCAACAGCCAAAAATCAATCTTTTGCATGAACTTTTTGTGGGTATCTAATTCTTTGCTCTATTTGCTAGCATGAATAGGGCTGGCTTTGAAAGGAAAAGATGTTGAATGTCAGTCAACACCACAATTTCAAAATAACGATGAGACTTAGAGCAACACGAGATCAATAAAGCAAGCTGTTAAGATTTAGTGGTGCTCAGCAGAAATGCTGAATGTTAAGCAGTGAGTGGCTATACAGGAACAAAAAGCAACATTGTAAAACCAGTTAGAGCTGACTTTGGAAGGAAAAATTAATTCAATGACCATCTATCAGGAAGCGGTCTGTGCCATTGGGATTAACCTGCAGTGCGCCTTTTCTTTAAAGAAAGCTTACACTGGGCATGACAGACTCCCATTTAACAAAAGCCAGCAAATCGTGGCCATTTTAATTATGAGGTTTCCTGGAACCTAGAATTGGACATTACGGAAAGCCCAGTTTAGGAGCTGTTATACAACAGACATATAGGCGGCACAGTTATAGGATGCAACAAACAGCCCCCGTCCAAACCAGCAAGATCCCAGCCAAGAAATACACACCAGCTCTGCAGAGAGGCAGGCAATACATCACCATCACTTTTCTGAGGAATCCCTGACAGGGGAATGAATAGAAAAATCCCCCAAAAACCCTAGAGAACGTTAAGGCCTTACCTTTCCCCAGATTATTTTTTTTCGGGGACGGGGGAAGGCAAGTATTAGTTCAAATCAGGTTTTAGTTTTGAGATTCTGAGAAACGTCCTTTTTGCTTCCAAAACAAAATCGAAAAAAACCCACTTGCAACATATCAGAACTGTTGAGAGTTCATAATAATGTACGTGAAATTACAAATACACACGGTATGTTGACAACAAAGCTGCTTCATTAAACTAAAAAACAACGGGCATTTCGGAAATGTTTCGCAATTGCGAATTAAGCAGCTTTTGAAAGCTTAGCTGAAGGAGATCCTTTGAGAACCCGGCTCATGCTCCGATGGCTCCTTCCACCACACGAGACCTCGGATTCCGACTTAAACTCGAGGAAGGGGCAGGGAGGGAGACGACTGCGGGAACTGGGTGCTGACCCCACGTGACCCATCCCTCGCTCACCTCGTCGAAGCCTGCCATCCTCGTCAGAGGGCTGCTTGGGCAGAGTGCCCTTCTTGTCGGGCTCCGAGTAGGGCCGCATCCTCCTGCCTTCCTCTGAGGGCACCTTCTGCAGGCTCAGCTTCTTGTCTGCCTCCGAGTGGGGCCGAACCCGCTTCCCTTCCTCCGTGGGCCTGTGGACGGCCGGCTTCTTCTCCACCTCCACGTGGGGCCGGCTGCGCCGGTTCTCCTCCTGGACGGGGGCCCTGGGGAGGGTCGACTTCTTCTCTCCATCGGAAGATATCCGGACCTTCCTGCCGTTCTCCCCCTGCAGCAGCCACGAGGGGTTGGCTTTAAACTCCAACTCCGAGGGGGGGCGGCCCTGCTCTGAGCTCTTGCCCCCTCCCACGGGCACTGTGTGGCCGTTTTTCATTGTGGGCTGTTTGGAGCTGTTCACGTCCTCCCCTTCTGCAGACAGGCAGAGAGACAAAAAAAAAACCCCACGCAGGCCCGTAGTAGAATTGAGGAACAAACTCAATCAAGCTCCCTGGAGCTCTAAAAACCTTCACCAGCAACGGCTGAATTCTGCACATCAATCATGAACAGGGCAGCTTTAACTAAGTTAAAATAATTCTGTTAGGGGAGGCAGATCAAAGCCGGCTTAGGCTCAGGTCTGGTCTGTCAAACAACTTGCATCTGTTTGCTTTACAAGAGAAATAACCACATTCAAAAACACTCTACCTCAATGCTTGTGTTCAATTCTTTTTTGCTCATGTAGAATATAAATAATTATATAAGCTCCACGTTAACAGTTCATTTTTCCAAAATGTTTCAAAAATAACTCTTTCCCCACACTTCTATGTCTTTAGTGTACCCTACAAAAGACCTTTTTAAAAGGTGCAAAAACAAGCATGTTGATTTTGCAAAGAAGACTTCCTTCATTTGTGATCTTCTATGTGTGTGGCTTAACCATTTAACACTCCATCCAGAGCACTGGTTTGGCTTTTTAATCCAGATATCAGTGGATCAGATCTGGGGCATGTTAACTCCCCATATGCAATGCTGCTTGTGGTGGTGGGGCTTGTAACTGTTGAGGTGTGCAGCAGAGGTTACCTGTACAAGTGTACCTTATAGCACAAAACTACAGTTACAGCATTATCAGAGACAAGGACGTTTCATTTCCCAGCTAGCTCTGAAAGCAGCATTGTATTTTTGACACGTAACAATATAACACAATGTTTCAGAGAATGAGTACAGTGATCTGTTTGTGTGATGGTCACAGAATTGCCAAATTCTAGAAAAAAAAGATGTGCTTATTAAGACAAAAATATTTCTTGGTATAACTCATGCAGTGGTGCACTGACATCTCACGTTCTCTTACCATTATCTGGAATCTCCTTTAGCACACCCTTGTCTATCAGCTCCTGCCTGGGCTTCCTCATCGAGATCTTTCTTTCCAGAACTGCGCACACAGGGGAAATTGATCAGAACCTGAACTAGATTTATTTACTGTTTTTTTTTTTCTTAAAATAAGAAAGTGGCTATTAGTGGACTATTAACAAGATTTAATACCACTCAGGAGCACGACTGGGTAAGTATCAGCTTCTGTCAAAAGGGCTTCAGTGGGCCACAGAACGATGTGGGTTTCTGTTTATCAGCAACTTCCGTACCCAATAGGGCAAATGCAAGCATGCAGTGATCAGACAGCTGTTTCAGTGCTTAATTTCCCACTACAGGGGAAAGAGGGGGATTGCTCTGACAATGCCAATTTCAGCTGGGACATGCAGAGTTCTTATTCTTCATGCACTAACAAGCAAAAATAAATAAAAAGAGAAAAGGTCACTTGTTTCAGACTTTTGATCCTTCGCTAACAAAGTCCGAATTGCCACTCTTATGTTTTAGGTTGTTTTTGTGTCAGTTCTTCAAGAGACAAAGGAAATCGTGTTTAGGAAAGTAAAAGCAGCACATAACCGTGAGACTTACTCTTGTCACACAATCTGGAAACAAAATGCTAAACAGTCACATCAAAAGTACCTTCCGAAGTTTCCTTAAACTTCTCACTGCTTTTCTTCTTCCTCCACTTCCAGGGCTTGAAAATTTTGCCAAAGTTGGAGAACTTGCCCTTGCGTCTGGAGGGAGGGGTGCTGTCCCCAGAATTTCCCCCGTCACTCCCCGGTGTGTTGAGCTGGTTGTCGACTTCATCATCTTGGGGAAAAAAATGAAGAAAAGAGCGGGATTAGGCACAGATTCCAGCTGCTTCATCCAGTACAGCTACGGACGAATCTGTACACTCCAGACGTAATGAATTATCACTAAGCACAGGATCACATTTAGGAGCACATACTTTCGCCACTGATGCACATTGAGCAAAGCGTGTGCACCACATCTCCTGAAATCACTGGGATTTGCCCTCTTTTGGATGGGAATTGAATAATGCTGGCACGATGTTCATCACAACAAGCTGAACATAGAGCTTAGAGGTGCCTGACCAAAATAAACTACACACACTGACCTTTTGGACGAATATTTTTACACATGACTAAGTATGAGCTCTCTGAAAGATAAGGCATAATTTCTAGAAATATTCATTATCAGGATAAAGGACTACCTTCAGTACCCTGCTTTATGCATTTATTTACCACTATACATTACAGGACTACAATAAGAATGTATGTCTAGCTTGACAATGTTTCCGACTATGTTAATGTACCCTTATTTAATTTGTTTCATTACTCAGATTTGCCCAACAGCGTCATTAAATGAGTAGCAGCACAATATGACATATGGAATTATACACTAAGACCTGCATGGTTTAAAGAACCACTCAATTTAGGGATGCACTTATATCTCAACACCCTATTTGTCATATACAGTTGGAGATGGAAACTAGATAACTGCAAGAATGTTACAGCTCTGAAGAATACCAAGCAAAAGGCTACATGACTTGGCAGCACCTTTGTGGTTCTAAATAACAAAATGCCTTTGTACAACATTTGAGGTCTAAATAGAATACCTTCAATATATACCAAAAACAACAAAAACTTTGTATTTGAGTCTCAACACATCAGTTATCTATACAGTAGCGTTTAAGCATGAAAACTGGTTTCTAATCTGTTTTAAGGATTTTTCCTTGTTTAATGTGGTTAGTAATAAGTGGTTACACAATTCGATGGATTTAAAGGCTATCGGATTAGAAGTCTTGACTGTAAAGTAAAAAAGGGCTCAACTTAATTTCCTGAGAATTCCAAAGACTAAAACTTAATTAAACTAAAACGTTCATATATTTTAAATGAATAAATTAAGCTGCAACACTAAAATGTGTTAGTCAACTAAGAGTGATTATAGTCAGATTTTAGTTGACTAGACTAAATTAAAAGTGTGACTAATATGTAATACTTTAGTCGACTTGACTAGGGCTACATCTAATCAAAAGCTGGTAACTAACCCCGAATCAAAATGGTCATGTAATATTAAAGTAATTCCTTTCCTTGATCTGACAAGTACTAATTAGAATTTTATTAACAAAACAACACCTCCCTATCTTGGCTTTAATGGCTGTAAAATCTGATGTCTATCAATAGATATTTTCTTTCATGCATAATTTGTAAGTATCGCCTTTTTGATCTAACAGCAAACATAAGAATAACACATTTTCAGATGGCTAAAGTGTGCTTTCAGAACAATCCCAGCATGCTTACAGAAAACTAGCAAGTAAAATCTGCCTTCTCTTAACTGTTCAGACAAAGGGCAAAAGTTTTGTTTCTCAGGCGAGCCTCTTTGTTCTAGCAGTCAAAATATTTACCAGCCACAATCCAACCAAAATACAGAACCAGGCCTCTGTACAGGATGTCCTGGAGACACTGTTTCAAATTATTTCCCAGAAAAAAACATGCAATATGTATCTGCTTCAAACACAGAAACTGCGGCTAAGAAGCCATTCTTTGGGTTAGAATTGGTATTTCTTATCCCTTTAAAGCAAAGTTAACTTAAGACTTCAATGGATTTGAATGGAATTATTTTAAAAGCAAGACAGCCAAGTTCCCCAACAAAATCAACTTAATCTTTTAAAAAAAAAAAAGATTATTGCTGCTAATATAAATTTTAAACATCCTGGACTTTAATACATTCTTTTAACCAACTCCCCCTTGCATTTAAATCAAGAACATCTAACAAGACAAAGGTACGTTTTATAAATGTACAATGTACATCCTGGAGCTACACAACACAGTACCTGGATTTGGAAAGCAACTCCGAAACAGAATGCACTGTGCCATAGGATCACTCCCAGAACACTGCAGCCACGGCCTCAATACTAATTTCAGCTATCCAGGAGCACACGGAGCACACACTGGAAAAGCTGAGCCAGAGACACAGAAATGGACCACGACTAATGAGGAGAGAGGAAACAGCACTGTACACTGTAGCACTCCACCCATCGCTTAACCAGCCTGGGGACCAGGGAGGAAGTGGGATTACACACTATATTGGAGATACTGATGTCCTGAAACCTTTCAGTGCAGTCAACTGCACATGGAAAGATTTATCCTTCCAGTAAGATATTCTATTTAATCTAAGCATATTTTGTTACCAAATTAACGTAAGAATCTTTATAGTCGCTTTAAAATTTCAGATCATGAAATGCATAAGGAGGATCTTTAAGAACAATGCATTCAGCTGTGCCTAATCAAAGATTTTTCTTTCAATTGATGATACCTTCAATACCTTTTTCTGTTTTGTTGCTTAGCTTTCTGGTTATGCCGATCAAAGGGTTAGTGTATGGGATTTGCTGTCTGGTTTAACTTGACCTAACTACAGCACTAGAAACGGCAAAAATAAAAATGTTCCCTACAAAATAGAATGTTTTCCAAAGAATTATATGAACGTAGTATATCTACTGTGCCAATGAATTATGTACTCATTAGTGCAGAAGATTATGATGTGCACTTGTCCCTTGCCTTAAAAATGTAATTAGCTCAGTATACAGTACTCTCAGTATTTCAAGTAGGGAGCTGCGTCAGCATGCACAGGCTGCAAAGGAACAAGTACAGGTTTATTCCATGCCGAAAAGAGAAGAAAAGAAACAACGTTTTGGCTGTGGAGTCTTCTTCAGGTGTCAACCTCAGTATTACTGCAAACTCTCAGTATTACTTATTTCTACTCTAACAGAGCACTGAATCATCAATGTAAGAACACTATGGCTTGTCTTTAATCCCTACTGAAAAATACTCTACATCCTAATACCTTAGTTTACGAAGACGAATCGACAAGATAAATAAGAGGTAAAACAATTCTAAGAACGCAGGTACACTTGGGAATGGAGTTGTAGGAAGCTGTAGTGAGATCATACTAAAAGGCTGCCGATATCTTTTTGGCTATAAGTAACACACCTTCACTGGAGTGAAAATTACTTTGGAATGGCGAAAAACAGATACGAAAATGCATGCCTTCCTGTTGCAAAAGTTCATAAACTGGGCGGTCCTAAATCAAGAAATAGCTGTACACAGTAACTGTTCTATGTTCATAGGAATTTATCACCAGTCAGAATTCAGTCTGAATGATACAATTATATGTGATTTTGTCATGAACAAAAATAATACATGTTACAGTCCATTCCAATTCATTCTGCCTCTGTCACTCTAACTATTAACTTCTAACCAGCTTTGCTTTACAGATTTGAATTAATACAATATTTTTTGTAAAGTCTGATGGACTGAATCCCAAAATGGTCTCACACCCAAAATAAAACTGGGATCTAGCCAGAATCACACCTGTACAATTCAAATTAGCATGAAGAAGCTCCAATTCACAATGTTCTACTTTAGAAAAAAATATCGCCAAAGGCAGAAAACAAAAGATGTCCTGTACCTGACAGGATTAGCAGCACAAAAATATATCAGCACACTCCACTGTATGTTTCTTCACAAAAACACTTAAAATCCCCAAGCAAAAAAAAAAGAGAAAGCAAACCTAACCCAGTTTACTAGAACTGATGTAGCGACGGAAATGCAGAACTGTTTTCAACTGAGTATGTCTCCACAATATTATCTGTATTTATTGCAAGAAAAGGAATGTTCCCCAGTCCAACATGGAACAAAATCAAGAGACGGATTAAGAATTCAATCACTGGAAATAAATTGTTTTGTGAAAAATGATAATAGGTTTAAATGAAACTTGATTTGAAATGAGGAAAAGCCCAGTGTCAGAAAATATTGCTAAATTACAGAGAGGAGATTTTACGAGATGGATTGCTTACACTTATCTCATTTAGGACTGCAGTTCCTGTGCTGCTCTCCAATTCTCTGATTTCAGGCTTTTAAAAGACTAGGCTTAGTTGAGCACTCAGAACAAATATCTAAGGCACAGGCAACTATGATCTACATAAATGCTGCCCCTCTTACTTGTAGATTTTCCAACATTCAGGTATGACTAGGTGATGCTGCTGCTGGGCTAGTCTTGCTGCACCAGCACTTACGATAGGCTGCTGGGCAGGTGTCACACATGTCAAAGACACTGACAAATCTGTGTTACAGGCACCACTATTTGAACTCTTTAGCAGTGTGTTTTTTTATTTATTAAACCACTGCTTCAAACCTTCCACAGTTATTACCTCAATTCTTAATCGCATAGGTTGTTATCTCCTTCGCCCTGGACACGCCATTTAAGCTTCCTTGAGACTGCTTCAAATGAGTATACATATATAAAAATTAATTTAAAAACGTTACAGTTAAGGGATAATCATCAACTTTGGTCTTTACTGACAATTCACATTAGAAATTCAAATTAATTAGAATGTGACTAGTTCACATTTCGAGTACTTCAATTTAAAACAGAAATCCCACCTCTAAGAGAGTATACTGTACTGTACTATGAATTTAATCTGCATTAAGTCTGGCTCATCCAGTTACGTTTGCATAACAAATGCGATACATTGTACAGTGTGGCATCCTGCACAGAGTAACTGCTCCTTTGCACGTGTTTACATGCGTGTCTGTAATATCCAAATGTTACGTTTTAAGATGACAGCCAGATGAATCAGCATTCTGCACCGGACACATAAGGCCACAGGAACCTGATCTAGCCAAAGCCAGGGAATGACAAACAAAAACAGGAGCCTCTCTGGAGCGCGACCTCCCAAACAAATGTGTTCCTTAACTTTGTTTGAAGCCATTGTTTCCGACATCTGGATACAAAACGAAAAGAAAAGGAGCTCTGTAAACAGGGTTTGGCTGTGTTGAGAAACAGCCGGGTATTGATGCAGGTAGCACACCTTTAATCATCTGAGGCATGAACCTAGTGCACAGCAACAAGTAATTAAATCCTGAAACTGAACACGAGATAACAAGCACCTCCTGCAATCCCTCCATTGTTACTTGGAGATAGATCTGCAGATCACACGGCAACACGAGTTAAACCACCAAATGCACAGTCAGCAGGACAGCTGCCCTGTCCTGGGATATTAAGATATTATACAAATAAAAGGCTTATGTGGGTAAGTACGCCACAATGTAACATTTTCAGCGACATCCCGTTCGCAGTATCATTACTGTGAGTTATAATGAGGGTATTACATAAACTAACCATAATTTAACAAACTTCTTTACTAAAACTTAAATAGAAAGCACTGCAGAGCATTGCGAAATCAAACGAGCGGTAAATCTCATTTTCAGTACTTGCTGCACAAACATTAAGTTATGTCAGCTGCTCAGTCAGAGGTTCCTTGTATTCTGGGAGAAAGACTCTGCGACCGAGCAGCCGATGCTTAGAGCCGATTTTGCAGAATTAAGAGCAGCACGCAGCAGGGCTTGCACTCTGTGTTTCTAGCTCTCCGGACAAACAAGCTCCAAGTACAACATGAGACGGGGGGGGCGGAATTGCACAATCGCCGCATTCCATCTGCACATTCCCCCCACACCTGCTGTTCTCCCTCAGCTCGGACTGCTTCGCGAAAAACTTTCAGGGGCTTACCGGAGTTCAAGCCTGGATCCTCGGCTGCCGAGTCCACGTCGATAGCCTGTCCCATGCTACTTCTCCCTTCCCCTGTGCTCTCAAAAGAGAGGGGGGGAGGGAGGGAGGGGAATATAAATAAAAAAGCCTCACACAGCTTCCAGTGCAGCGCTGCCGTAACTTAAGACGGGCTCCTCTTGCTTGGTCTCTCTCTCTCTCCTTGTGTTTTTCTCTCTCTCCCTCCCTTCCAGGATCTCTGACTTCATAAATAAAGTAGCATGCCAGGAGCATTAACAGATGGATGCTTATCATTCCTGTGTGGAGATTGCTGAGGGTCAAAGGTCTTCCCCAAGGGAGGAGGCAGGGAAGGTTACTTGCACCAGATGAGCCCACTATCTGCTGGTGTGTCTGCGGAGCAGTCAACACATGGTTTTCCTCCACCTGTGCTGTCAATACTACGACCCATGGAGCTGCGGCAAAACACTGCACAAAACAGGAGGGACGTTCCAGGGAGCAGCCACTCGAGACTGAAAACGTGAGTCAGGCCAAGGTGGAGTCAAGCTCGAAGAAAGAGGAAATGACATCACAGAGGTGTCCGGTACATGCCGATACCCTGTGTTTGTTTTTTCTGCAATACTGCTGTATTTTGTATTTGTAATATCTTCTTTAATCTTAACATACAACTAAAAAAAACAAACCCGTCTCAAATACATGTGGTACACGAACGAGGATGTGTCTAGGTCTGGGATTTTTAAGCAATATCACGTCATGTTCTTAAATTTTCTTATATGAAGAAACACGAGATGGCTCTCATTATACACTGTTTAATTACTGAGGAAAACAATCATCATATTTAAAAAATATTCAAGGTTTAACCACTGGGTGCACTTCAGAGAAATCAACAAAAACCCAGATAGGAAAACAAAATTCTGTTTGATGTCAACAAAGGCATTGAGTGCAGCTAAAACAAACAAAAACAAGATGAGGTTGGGAATGGAGATGAAGCCAAAACAAAACATTTTGTATATCATGTCTTCGTAAGAGATAAAATTCATAGTTCCGCTCTTCTCTGCAAAACAACCAGCTCTCTAAAATACAAAAGGTTGAATGAGGAGAGACTAGGTCCGGAAGAAATGGGACACATTCAAACAGATACAGCAGAACATTTCTTAACAAAAGGTCTTGAGCTCACTGTGAACTGCTCTGATAAGACTGTAGAAACGTATTGCCACTGAAGTAAGAAAAAAAAGAACAAATATATATATTTTTGTCCAGTTATTGGATCTAAATCTCAAGAATTATAAACATTTATACCTGTGAATCCCTAGAAAAACTATGAATACATTCAAACCCTGTGCTTTTGTAGAAAAATCTTGAACGGAGATATGAGCCACAGCAATTTAAGTGCTGCGGCTGTTGTGGTCACAATCAAGTGAAAGACTCCTTGAAAACAAATACAAAGCAAAGTACTGGACAAACAACAAGACAAGGAATACCTTAAAGAACTATGTCGAGGGGGAAAAAAAAATACCGTGGAAGAGTACAGGAAAAAGGCCACAAAAATATTTTCATTTTGGAGCAGAAAAACAAGCAAACATAACCACATAAAAATAAGCAGAACAGACCACAAGCTAAGCAAATTAGGTCACCAGAGCATGGTTTGTACGGAACAGTGCAATACCTGCTGGTCCTGCAGCACCTGGTATTGGAGTACTGTAAACACCGGGACTATAAATTCCTCTGTATGGAATGCGGCTGTTATCTCGATTGATATCCCTCCCTGCTTGGCTACAGTGCTGCTCCCAGATTGCTGTGTATACTCATACTCGGGCAGTGTGGCCTTGTTACTGGGTCATGCGTCACTCGGGGCTTTAACTTCAGAGTTGGAATCATCAAGGTTAAAGAGGGAGGGGAATATAAATAAAACCCTCACGTCTCTACCAGCTCCACACTCCCTTTAGGTAAAGGGAAGTTAGGTAAAGGTCTTACAGCAGCACCCTTATAACAAGCTGGTGAAGAAAAGCGCAAACAAAGAACTGACTTCCGAACTGGTCTCCCCCCCCCCCCGCGTGATGCTACTGTGCGATAACCTCCGATATTACTATCCCTTGTGTTCATTATGTCAAACACGTGAGAATAACAGCTCTGATCAGTATGATTTTCAGCATACTACAAAAAATATAAACACGTTAAAGGATAAACACTCTCACGTGAAGTCAGTCCCACTGTTCTTCTCTATGTTCACAATTAGCCAAAACAGCTTTGCTGTCAAGAACACGTATTATCTAATCACAATATTATCACTTTACGTACTACTGATGCGGTGGGGTACAAACACTTCAGAAGAATCATAACCAATGAGAATACATCTGTCAATATCTTCTAGGACAAAAACGTTCCATTAATTTTATGCTAGATGCTTTTACTGTAATTTCTCAAGAAAGAAAAGCACACAGTACCAGGCAGCACAAACACTTCTTGCAGTCCTTTCATAGGCACACTTTGTACACACAAATAAGAGGCATGTTTTTACACAGACGGCATGAAAGGTACAGACAAATGTGCCAAGTTGTTGAAGAAACTTCCCTAGGATCCTTCCAGAAGGAGCTAGGTGACGTCTTTGGTGAAGTAAACTAGTAGCAAGGCAATGATTAAGATTGCAAGCACACAAGCCTCCAGACCACGAGTGCCAACACAGCAGATAGCAGACAATGAATACAAGGGCGTACAATTATTAACCACAACACTCCACTTGTGAGTGGTTCTACAGCAGGGTGTTCAGGCTAACTACTATCCCCCTCTAGGGCCCACAGAGTGTTATGACATCCTTTTCACTGGGGCAAGATTTTCAATAAACCCTTGCGAAATGGAATTCATAACTCTAGAGAGTATACTGCACCAGAACAGTTTTGTACTACCACTTGTGCGTTTATGACCCATATTTTGTTTTACAAGACTGATATTAGAGCAGTTGTCTCCTGAATGGCCACAATATGAATCAAGCAAGCAAAGAGGTCAGTGTACATACAAGCCAGAGCAATGAGAGAGGATTAAACCCCACATTAGTGTCCTTAATCTAGAGGAACTCACAATAATTAAAAAATCAAAATGATTAAGAGAATTAATTAAATGCTTTAAACCTAAATTAAAACCGTGTCAAGCATACCATTTTCTAAATATCTGTCCAACCATTCACTTTCTAACCTCCTGATCTAGTACAGGGAGGGTCTCGAGAGAGCCACAGCCTACTGTGGATAGTAACGGGTGCAAGGCAGGATACACCCTGGATGCGATGGCAGTCTATCACACAGACACGGACACAAATGCACCCTCGTCAAAAGGCCAATTAACCTACCAGCAGGTGTTCGGACTGTGGGAATACATCAGGACACCACGACGAAACCCACACGATCCTGAGGAGAACACGGCGCAGACAGCACCCCAGGCTCGGGATTGATCACAGGACCCCGGCACTGTGAGGCAGTAATGCTCACCACTGCTCTGCCATGCCACCCACGTTTGCTAAACATCTTGTAAATCACCACTAGAAACATTGTGACTAAAATATACCACATAAACAGAATCATCTACATATCCTATTTTGCACGTTGTACTAATCCACAGAACTCCTCAGGTATGCTTTATTATAGTAATGCTCTACTGGGGAGAGTGGTCGTCCAGTCAGGTAGGCATCACCCCCTTTTTGAAATCAGAAAACAAAACAATAGATGGTGGTTCAGTGAATGTATACACTATTGGTGGTCTTCTAAACAGACAGGCTACTTCACAGTGTAGGATATTGCCACACTTAGCTCAGTTTATTGTAACCAATTCAAGAGATTGCTGATTTAAAAAAAAAAATCAAAGAGCAATGGGCTTGATGACACTTCTTACCCGACATCAGGTCAGAAGCTAAATGAGGCTTCCTTCTTCAGCTTAGCCTGACATCACCACATAATCCTGCAGGTCAGGCTGGCAAAGGGCCAAGAGCCATTGGTAGCAGGTGAGCATTTCAGCCTGAGCTGGGAGACAAAGTTCCCGGTGGGACTTCACAGACACCACTCTTGTTTTTGATTGTTAGCAGCTTCCAGCTGAAGACAAATAATCAGGGAGCCTCAGCTGAAACTCTCTGGAACAGAAAATGCTGCACAAGCAATCAGGCTTTCAGAGAGCAAATCCCCAAGGAGTCTTTCTTGTATACCAAAAGCTAATGCAACATAAATTAGCCATTTGGTTGTGGACTATAAAGCAACTATACCTGTGACTGCTTTTAAAGAACCATGTTTATCCTTTCTCACTGGGCACAGAAAGTATGCACTAAACATAGTAATAATACATCACATGATTGCTACAATTTCTGCATCATGTTTCCCCTCCTGGGACAACCACTGCCACCATCCAGTGAAGGAAGTGAAACCCCTGGCTGCACAATTTCAGTCTTTCAGACACATCTGCCACTGCTATCACCAAGCACAGGCGTCTCCAAAGGACATTGCTCTTGGTTATGCACCTCTAAATTTAAAGTAAATTTCCTTCCACTGTGATATTTCCCTAGTGGCGAGTTTTTAAAAAGGAGCTATTTAAAAAGAGTTTCGGCACTTTCTGATCTAATTCAAGAAAACCCCAGCGGAAAGGATTTAGATTGCGTAAGCTCACATAGCTAACATGGCAGCACTATCTTCCTTTTGACTTCATTGGGTTTTAGGTTACACACACACCCCAATTCCCCTATATCAGAGGTTTTACACCTCAGGTAAGATATTTTGTTTCTTTTGGTAAGAACCTGTGACAAATACTTTCAACTGTCAGTTTAAAGATCGCAATTCTTTTCCAGGAAACCTCTGCTGAATATTAATTAGAGGAGACAAAGGGCCTCAGGTTAAAATGAATCTCTATTTTGTTACTCCTTACCAGGTGAGAACAACACATTTTCAATCAGATTAGATTTACTGCTGCATTTTTGCATCCGTAAAAATGTGACGAGGACAAAGCATACTTTACACTGAATTGTGCATTGATGAGAACTGTCTGAAATTTTCACGCCAGGAGTCCTAAAGCATCTACAGGACAGTCACTACTGACAACACTCTACACTGGAGAAGCTATTGTCGTGCCTGGAGGCCAGGCATGTAGCAGATGAAATAAACCCCTCCAGCACTAACTGCTTGGGCACAGCTGGGCAGTCTAGACTCGAACCAGTGAAAATGCTTCTTTATACCTACTTTGAACAAGCAGGATTATCTCACCTGGATCTACACGGGTCCATTAAAATCTCCCCGTTCTTCTAGTATAGTTGAGTTGAAACTGTCATGCTTCACTGAGCTAAGGATGGCCTGGCCAAATTTAAAAGAAGGCTCCACCACTGAATAACAACACCCATTAAAATAAAGTTATTTTACTTCAGTTTACTTAACATTGGTCCCAGTTGTAAATGGGAGGCACTAATATCCTAAAATAACAAAACCAATTAAACCCCCACCGATCAGATTTACCACATGTTTGGACAAAATTGCATCAGGTATACCTGTGTTTGAGTGTTTTAATTAAGAAATTGGTATTGTTCAAAAACAGTTATTACACTTAAAAAATACATGTTTTTATGTTATTATTATTATAAGAGTTAAATAATGTGCATAAGATATCTCTAAAAGGAA